AACATTAAGTGATACGGTACAAAGCTGGGTAATAAACACCAAACAACACCTGTCTTCAAGATAATTATTTTTTTCAACCGAGCTGCCTTCTCGCTCATGGACCAAAATTTAATCTAAAATAAATAAATAATTCTATATGAAGATAGCTAGAAGAAGTGATGTAAAAACAGAAGAAAAAAGAAAAGAAGAAAAGATCACTTTTTTATTCAAAACAAATTAAGTAGAAATCCCATTAAAACTACTGAAGATTAATTGAGTTATGCTGCTGGCAGATATCAAACCATTTTTAATATTTTTCAGATAAATTTAATTACTCAAATTTGCACCAATGTGTATTTAAAGTGAGCTGCTGGGGAGCGAGAAAATATATGGAATGTTAAGAATTTGATTGCACAACAGTTATTTACTACACTCCATATCAAGGCGCCAAGTTGCTGAACTCAAGTAGCTGACTTATTGCTATTTACTATCGTTAATATAATAAATTTTTTAAGTTGACGATATGCCATTCACTGTAATATAAGTACAAACTTGAATATATATATATATATATATATATGTAAACACTCAGCGAAAAAAGTCTACGTACCACACTGTAAAGTGCAGTTCTGAGCAATTCATGCTCAATTGAAAATGAAAATTCTTACTAAGAGGCATCGCAAGCTTGGATTAATCTTTGTATTAGTTGGTTCGCTACTAATTAAGCTTGGCAGGCAATTATCTGTGCAAATGAAGGACCAATTACCGCGAAAATGGTGCATGTAATTGTGTTAGACGCTTGTCAAAGCTTCCGATTGGAATGTTGGGGAAATTTATGCTTCAACTTGGCTTGGTTTCCCCGGAACAGGAGTTCTTCCGAATACGGCAGTGGTAATTGAGTATATGTCGTAAAGTGTATATAAGAGAGGTACTTTTTCTCTGTTTGTACTGGAAATATCGTTCACGCGTAACCTTCGGCTGGATTAGGCACTTGTGAATCTATCCAAATCATTGGAAAATCAAATAGCAGAGCAAATTTTTCTTCCATTTATTCAGTTGGAAAATAAATGTCGCACAAACAGTAGATGGTGCCAAATCTACAACAAGTATAACATTTTGCGTAACATGTAACTTTCTATTTTTTGACATTTATCCATTTTTTAAATGCATAATACATCAAAAAAACAGAGAGCGAAGAACGACTAATATACAATCTTTCTCACAACTAAGTGCAGCCGATCATTGCGGATAAACAAATTACAATTTATCAAATCAAAGCGCACTTTTTCTGTATGCCCCGCTTGATGGAAAAACAATTTTCTGATTCAACCGCAATGATGCTAATGTTCATGCGTATTGAAAAATTTTCCAAAAATTCATCCACCATATTGAATCCGTCATTCTTAATTTAAAAAATCTGTTTCCTTATTCCTCAACTGCGACCCCCAAAACCCTCGACTGTTGAGCTTCAAGCGAATTTGATGAATTTTTACAAAATTTCTCCGCCTTTCATGGGGATTTTCGAAAACCAACACCAGATTCATGGTCAGCGACCTCAAAAAACTTGCCAATGGCAATGTGTTTCAAGTTATTTTGCTAGGTTTTAAAATAATATTTCATCCGCTATTTTGAGTTTCGAAAAAAAGGATTTTGGGTTCGAGTCAGGCATACCTAATAGCGTCACGTTTGTCGAAAAAAGTTCCCAACTCGCGCACAATATAATTATTGTTAGTAAACAATATGCCCATACACATTTTATTGAACTGTTTACAGTTTCATAGTGTTGAAGAAAGCTTAATTGACCTTCAATGTTTATTTGTATTCGAATTTACAGATCTATGTACATATGTGTATAGAAATGCATACATGCAAACCCTGCAAACAATTGTGGACCATATGGTCCATTGGAGTAATCCAATAGATACTACTCGGTAGTTTACTATTGGATCAACTAACGTTTCGCTACCGCTCTGTTCTTAGCCGATGATTATTCGTGCTTTAACTATCGTAATTATTAAACGAAGTTGCAAATGCACAAAACGATTTGTACTCGTATGCGAAATATGAACTGAAATTAAGTTGAGCATACATACATATATATATTTATCTATTGGAATATAGAATAATAGAATACTCCATGGCTTACTCGGTTGTTATGCAGAGGTGGAGTATATGGTTCAGCTCTAGGACATCGCAATATTGTGGTTAGCTTTGGACCACTCCATTGTCCGCGTGAAGTATATAGTTCACGAGTGTGTAGAGTAGTCACAGGGTAGTTGCAGGAAAAGAGTAAGTTGTTCGTGAATATGTACATATACAATATTTTTAGATTTATGTGTAAACAAATACGAGTTGCGCCTGAATATAGAAACTTATTAATATTTGTGTATATCAAAAAAAAAAAAAAATAAAAAATTAAAGTTTATCCCAATTCAATTCCGCAAGTGACTCACGAAAATTGATTAACTATTGTACTACATATAAGTGCATACATATATGTAAATATAATAACATAAACGATAAAATACCATATCAATTAATTTGTCTCAGGTGAGTGACACGTGTATTTATTAATATAAATTTAAATTTAAATTTAAATATATATATATATATTGTACATCTATATTTATTTAAAAAATATGTATATTAACAATTTTCTTCTGTCAACGCTGGAATGGAAAATTATGTCTGGGCATTGGAGGCTGGTTGTTTACTTTACTTACATACATACATACATACATAGATACATACATACATATGTATGCATACGCCAAGCGATATTTGTTTATTTATTTTTACTTTTGGTAAAAGCTTTTGGGTTTTTTTATGTGTAAATATGTTTTTATTTCACCTCACTTGTGAAAATGTCGCGTTGAGTTGGGTCACGTTCACAGTATTTATTTTGAATATATGACAAGTACAATAGTACGCACACACATACGATTTTCAACTCTTAAATAGACTAATTAATTACTAAACAAGGTTAATTATAATTAGAATTTACATACATATCTATGTAAATATATATATATATGTATGGACATACATATACATGTATGTAGATATTTATGTAAAAATATATATAAATATGTATAAATATATGTATATAAAAGGCGCTTTGTAACCGCTGAAGCGATTTTGTCGTAAGCGTTTTGATGTTTTTTCCAACAAATTGAGGTACCTACAAAGCCGCTTCAACAGCTCGCAAGGTTTTTTATGAGAAGCTTTTTTTTTAATCATGTCATAAATACACTTGGAGGGTCCGAAGAGCGAGCGCAATTAGAAGATTTAATGTTGGTCGGACCAGAACTCGTGACCTTCCGGATGACAGTGGGCAATTCTAAGCACTCGAATTCTTAGGATTATATGAAGAGAATAATGACAAATTCGAATAATACATACTCGTATATAGGTTCATACACATGCACATATGTCTGCCGAAAGAAGCTCTTGATTCAATTTTTTTTCGCTCAAATTTTCGAAATGTAAAGTGAAAATTTTCAGAGCCACCATATGGTATAAAATCTCTTTTCATAATTGATGATTTCATATAGTCTGCCTTGATATGATTTCAGTAGAGTTCTTCTTTTTGGGTCCGCTTGAGCAGACTTAAGAATTCCCATAAAGGTTTCTTACTGTACAGAGCTCAGTACTTCCTTTTTGTTAGATCCTACAAGTGTTTACAAGGGGAGATTGCCAGATATTAATAGGTCATATAGAGTTCTATTAAATAAGAATGGAAAGAAGCCTTAGTTGATATCACCGTCAAAAAAAGGAAAATGACATCGGTTGATATTAAGATGACATCTACCAAATTGGGCTAATGTTGAAAGGAAGACTTTAACGTCTAAGGATTTTATTGTCTCAGGTGGGATTAAGGGTTTAGCCTAAGCGACCAAAAAACAGCTTTGATTAAAAATTTGGTAAGCCAACAAAAGAATCGTGCATCTCGGTATTGAGCAATACCAGCAGGACTTTGTTTGTCACTTACTCGAAGTTAACTTTTCCTTCCATTTACAGTACTTGTATATTTCTTTACTGTTGTAGAAACCGCTTATGCGATTATAACCGAGTTAACAACAGCGCGTCATTTATTCATTCTTTAAAACTTTTATTAGCTTAATTAAAAATAAGAAATACACAGGACACTGAATAAATATTTGCAATGGAAATCAAAGATGACTAGATACGAAACTTACTCAAAATCACTCAAATTGCAGCTGAGAGCGTTCCCCCATCTCACATTCTAATGTTGGCAGCAGTGTCAGATCGGGGAACATTCAACATCTGATGTGCAAAACGCACCAGTGCCACTATGTCAATAAAAAAATCCATTATTTTTGTTTCAAAAGAAATTTGCTTCAGCAGTAAATATTAAAGAAATTATTGTAATTTTATTATGAAAACTTAATATAATTAAATATTGAATTGTTTCTTAATAAAATATTTTAGTGAAATCGCAATTAAAGACTCCGTTGTTTGTAATAAAATACCCAAAATATACCTAAAAATCCAAAGAAGTAATTTTTCTATCACAGTGGCACTGTTCAGAAATGTTATAAAAAATGCGGATTTTTGAGCGCTCTCACGGAATAAAGAGTTTCGTATCTAGTCATCATTGATGGAAATCAAGCAGCCAAAACAGCACTGCTGATTTTCAAACGGTTAAATACTACAATAACCACAAACAGATGGCGCTGGCATTCGTTCCGCTGAAGTGTTGTTGAATAAGTTTGGATGATACGGAAATGCATACATTTTAGCTTTAATTTTTAATTTTTATTTTTATTAGATATTAAATTATGTTTTTGCAATTAACATTTAATTATTTCTTCTAATAACAATCATAGCTTGAGGAAATTGTAAAAGCAATAAGACTACAGCGGGTAAAATAAAGTACAAATTTTCTAAAAGACGTTAACAACACTTTCGCTCAGCTGTGTTGTGTTGTCGTATATATATGTATGTATGTTTACTATTTGTCTTATGTATAGCTATTTATCGCAAAGAAAACATTAGTTGAGCTACCTGTAAATAGTGTAGATATAGTACGGACTTGACGCTTTGTTTCTTAGAAAAATTGAGTTGAATTTTGTATAAAGAAAATGTGAAGTTTTTATTTTACTTGCAATAAATTTATTTTCATTTATTTTAAATGCTAAGATTATTCAATTACGAAAGACTGAGGAATTGTGTGGTTGTTTCTTGAATATTGATGAAAATGCAATAAATCTGCTCACATATATTACATATATAATATATACATATGCATATGTAACCATCTACATACACACCGTGCATTATTTACCTTAACTTGTTTCACTGCTGACCTGCCAGGTAAGTTACAGATTTCATTATTTATGTGTGTATGCCTGTGTTCAAATGTAGTTTCAAGTGAAAATAGAGTTTCATGATTTTCTTCAAAAATGTGACACTAAATTGTAGCCCAACGAACATTTCCAAAATTACGGAAATTATGTAATTACAAATGAGTGACGCAGGTTTTTTGTTTCTTTTTTAATTGAATTTTTTTTCTTCTTCAGAAATATGTTGACATTTGTCAATGTATAGTACTTAACTAATGAAAACTTAATGATTTGCTTGTTATACAAAAGGTTTTTTAATTCAGCTTTTGTAATTTCCTCTCAAAGCTATTTTTATATGTTTTTTATCAATATACATATATACATATGTATGTACCCAAATAAGTAAAGAGATTTATGTGTACTCATGGCTTTGTGTCCATATGTAGAATTGTCGTTGATGATAGATATACAAATTTAATACATACATACATATGTACATATGTATGTAAGCGTTTCACGTGTCGAAATAACTAAATTTTTTTCTACTTTACACACCGGACCAACATCAAAAATATTTTTCAAAATCCGAATCTCCGAATGAAAAGATTCTAAGAAAAATCTATCAATCGTTTGGCCTAAAAATTGTACTGGGTGGTAGGTAGAGGGGGAGTATCCGAATAACTTTGATTTATCCGAAATTGTTGACATTTGTGCTTTATAAGTTTTGTTTCGAATATTAAAAAGTGGAAGCTTAAGTAAGAATTTGACGAGGTCTTGACAAGACCTTATTATAATTAATTAATTATAAAATATTGGAGTTATTGGCACTCAAATGACCAGGTGAGAGGTACGGTTTGTCATCAGTCTGATTTGTCCAATGGAGGAAAGCAGCACTTGAAACCTACACCCTAGATGGAACCACTATCTTTAGCCAAATTCGTGAGGAAATACCGCGCACCTGGAACAAATAAGTGAGGAGTACTAAATATCACAATAAGTTTTGTTTGTGTCCATCCTTACTATTCCCTCGAGAGCGTGTATCATGTTTTATGCCCGGCTTTAATATCCCGGCTTTTAATCTTATCTTCGGTAATTTTGCATTAGCTTGTTGTTAATTCGATTCCAAACAGAATAGTCGATTAAAACGTGTAACTTATTAAAGAGGTATGTCAGCTGAAGAAGGCCACAGGAATGGATCTTCGTCACTGTTAACTTGTTACTGAACAGAAAAGATAGTGAGGGAAATATAATACTCCAGGTGATACTGATATGCCGGGTCTGAATGGTGTTAAACCAAGATTGTGAAACACAGAAGAATCTCTGGCGTTATGTTAGATTAGGTAAGACTGGTTGATTCATTGAGTAGTACCAAATAAACAACACGATGTGCATAGCGCTACCACGAATACTACATGTGATCAAAGCTATGTTCTGCTACAGTTCCTGCCGTGTTTTCAGTGTTGAGAACATGCCTGTTCTCTTAGAATAATGGAGTAAGCCTTGCCCACGTTCACAGCGTTTCTTGCATTTATTATCGTCTACCAGACTTAATTTGTAGACAAGTGACGATAACAGACAATGCCCCGTTAATAGTCTTTGGTTGCTGCACTGAACCAAAAAACAGTCCCAGAAAACTCATATACATAGGTCATAGATTGTAAGGTGTGTTAGCCTGCGATTAAACTCAAAAATCGTGCTCGACTTTCGCCGATTTCTAAAGGTAACGACGAGAACAGACACATAGGTACGAGCACTGTCTTCCTCGTTTTAATGGCGCAGGCACCACTTACGCGATTATAGCCTAATTTTTAACATAGAGCCATATATTTCTGTTTTTCGCTGTTTGGCACCAATTGGAGATATCAAGCTCAGCCAAGCCCTTCTCAACCTGGTCTTTTCAGCGGAGTGGATGGTTTCCCCTTCCTCTGCTTCATCACCTAGTCAGCCCAGCTGCTGTTTCTTGGTTCGCTGAACTATGTCAATGTCGTCGTATATCTCATTGTAGAGGGCCGTAAATCTTCCCTCAAAAACTCCTAATACCGACCAATCAGACATTGTTATTGTGCTTGCCTTCCCAAGATATGGCCCGGGAACGATAAGCGACTTGAAGAGTTTGGTTTTGGTTCGCCGAGAGAGGCACCTGTTGGCAATTCTGATTCTGTGTTGGATATCCAAGTTGAAATTGTTACAGGTGCTAATACTGGTTCCAAGATAGACGAAGTTATCTACGACTATACGATGACTGTTTGCTTGATTACAGGAGGTATTTCGTCTTGCCTTCATTCACTACTAGACCCAGCCTGGAGAAAGCAGAACTTACCGCGCGGTTGTTGAAGCCACTAATGTCAATATCATCGCCGTACGCTAGCACTGGGCACTGTCCACTTTGCAGCATTATAATACGCCGTGTAGAAAAGCTGGGAGTTTATTTTAGAAGATGCTGCAGAATGTCGTATTTTATTTCAATTGAACGTTTAACCTGAGTTCAGGAAACCACAAAAACTATAAGTTAAAAGCCACAATTGCACGACTAGTGACATTAGAACAAAGAAAATCAAGAAATACAATGGAAAGTGCGTTGCCACTAATCAAGCCAGCATGAATATCAAGTAAAAGTGCAGGGTATTACACTTAGTCAAGTTGACTGCCACACGAAACACGCACACACCGATAAACAATGGGATTTTGTGTGCCCCACCACGCAGTCACCTACCTACTGCTCCCCACAATTCAGTGAGAGTATTTGTATGTTTGCCACTTATCGCTTTTCCCCATTCAACCACTGTGTACAACTTCATTTTTACTTTCTGCGTTGGTTATTCCAAAGTTCCAGTTTTTGTTGTCTACACTGGAAGCAGCAAGTGGAAAGCTGATTTAAATTTAATTTTTTATTTTTTCCACAATAAAGCTTTCAATTTTTATTTCACTCAAAGGGATGCCTTTATCTACTCGTTAGCCGTTGAATCTTTGTGTTGTTGTTAGTACGTTGTTATTGCTTTGTGTGCAGTGTAGCTTACGAGTGCTTTGTTTGCTGTAGCGTATCCAGAACTCCCCCTACCCCTCCCCGATCAGCTGTAGGTGCATTCAAAAATGTCTGTTTATTGTTTACTATCTCGCAACGCGCAATTGTGGAGTTTAAGCGCGAACAATTGCGACAACAACAACAACAACAACAACAATAATAATAATAATAACAATAACAGTAACTGTATGTACCGTAACAATATTAGCTGTAGCGCATTTAACATGACTGCAATCGAGTAGTTGAAATAGCTTTTACGAAAACTCAACCGGTTAGTTATTCGCGAAGCGCTCACTGAAGTGGAGCACACTTGCCTCTTGTGTACGAAATAAAGCGAAAAAGAAATGTTATTATTAAATAAATATATATAAGTGCACAGCAATAATCGAAAGTGACCCGTGCATGTTGTTAATTAAAAAACATTAAAAATTGTTTATTTGTGTGTAAGTTTTCAATTACTACAATGCGCTGACGGAGTAATATAGAATTAAGCAAATACCTACGAGTAGAGCGAGTAGCAGCGAGTAGCAGATTATAAATTGACTTTCCCTGTCGTCCATATGCGTGTTTGTTTGTTCTTTGAACACAGGATAGCGTGTCTGTCTGCTAGTCAGGGACATTTGTGTCGGCTGCAGCGCGGTTTACGCCGGCACAGCCCACCAGTAGGAATTCCGCTTTAGTGAAGTTATTTTTTATCGCGCTATCAACGGCATGTGATGTCGCCGACATCACCACCGCTTCAGCGAGTGTTGAGCAAATTATGAGTTGTTAGTGTGTTTTTTCTGTTTGTTTGTTTGTTTGTTTGTGTGCTTGTCGTTTCTACTTTCTTTGACGCTTTGATGAGGTGTGGGTGAGAAATATGTAGATGTACTACAAACAGACAAACATGTGTACGAGGGGTGTTCAAAAAGTATCGCGAATTTTGAATTTTCGCTGGTTACGTATAATCGAATTTCGATTTTTTTTGTGGCGTTATGTTGGTACTCATGTCTGCCACTTATGGCGACAAGCTCGGCCATTTTGAATGTTCACTTAATTGTTGACAGGTGCTTTGTTTGCACGTGTTTTGGATGGTCTTCGATGTGAATGACGTCCGAGCACTTCTACAACAGACGAAAAAATTAATTGCAGGGGCGTGGTGCATCATGAGTTCTTCCCACAGGGTAGAACGGTCAATAAGGAATATTACATGCAAGTTATGTGCAATTTGCGCGAAGCAATCCGCCAGAAACGCCCGTATTTGTGGAAGAACAAAAATTGGCTTTTGCACCACGATAACGCCCCTGCTCACACATCGTTGCTTGTGCGCGACTTTTTGGCCAAAAACAACACACTAATGATGCCGCAGCCACCGTATTTCCCAGATCTGACCCTCTGTGACTTTTTCTTGTTCCCCAAACTGAAGAGGCCCATGAAAGGACGACGCTACGATTGACGAAATAAAGACGGCATCGAAGGAGGAGCTGAACAAGATAAAAAAAAAAAATGATTTTTTGAAGTGCTTCGAAGATTGGAAAAACCGTTGGCACAATTGTATATCTCATGGGGATTAGTTTGAAGGGGAAAAAATATATATTCATGAATAAATAAACAATTTTTGAAAAAATACAAAATTCGCGATATTTTTTGAACACACCTCGTACATGTGTATGTATGTGTGGGAACTCGGCACCACTTGTGTAATTAATTATTCGGTTATAAATGCATGCATGTACGTAAATAAATACTTGTTCATATATACATATGTATGTACAAACATATCCATACGAATGTCAATATTTGACTAACCAAGAAGTGTGTTTAAAGAAAAACATAAGGTATTCGCTATATTAAACTTATGCATGTACATACATATATATAAAAATTAATATGCATAATATGTACATACATATGTATGTATGCGTGTACCTGTAAACGCGATAACAGTACCTAATCAGTATCGGCAATCATCAAGAAAAAGTACCAATATTGTATACAAGACCAAGCAATTATTATTATTGCTTGAAATT